CCCCCCCCCCCCCCCCCCCCCCACCTGACCATCTTTTCATTTGATGGCAACTGCTCTGGCAGAAGAAAACAGCAGTTGCCAAACATCCTTTGTGTTTGTAAGGTCAGTGTAACAAGGCAGGTACACACCACGTAGGAAGGTGGCCAGTGATTAATATTGGAAAACTAATTTTGTCCATTCAGAATCAGCTTTTTAAAAAAAAAAATGGTATCCACATGTCTCCAAACTTGTAATACCATAATCTTGGATTCAACTGAGTGCTACAAGTCCCATACTACAGACATTTCCTTTTCCTTCACTGCAGAAGTGAATAACTCTCTCAAGGGCAAAGCTAAAACTCTGTGTGGGGGCAACCAGAAATAACTGTTGAGTAAGATGCAAACAACTTAAGATGTAGACCATAACTGAATTACCTTCCCAACTCCTCTTGCTATTGGGAGTTGACTCTTTTCATACACGTCTTGAATATTTGGAGTCTTTTTACAGTTTTTACAGTTCATGTGAAGGGGGCCGTGTTCCTTAATAGAACGATTCTCCAGTGTCTTCTTGATAGTGGGCTAATTTGTGGTTTGATGGTTCAGCTGTTAGGTTCAAAATGTGTTTCTCTCCATATGACTTTCTCCAATCATTATGACCTATCTCAGATAGGTAGCTGGTGGCTATTTAGACAAAAACCTTTTCAGTATTGTCTCCCAAAATTTGGAGTAGTCCCCTGAGAGTGCTTCTCACTCACATCAGGAAGCAAACCCAGTTTCATTTCAGCAGGCTTCTCCCTTCTGAATGTTGCTTTAAATAAGATTTGCTGTCGTTTCTGATCTTTTACTGTGTGTAGACAAAGGTGTGAATGTGGTTCCTGCAGCTGTTTTATTGAAACCTTCAGTTATCTGTTTTGATCACTTTCTTTAGGCATTTGCTGTCAAAAGGCTAATGAAAATGAGCAATAAAATGCAAGAAGCAAAGATATTTCTTTCCTAATGAATTAGTAAACTTTCTTTGGACAAGCCTCTAGTTTCACAGTATCAGTTTCCAATTTTAATAAAGCAGTAGGGGCCTTCTCGCTTTCTCAGACTTTCTATAACAACCAGGTTTTGGATTGAGACAAAGAAAAGCAGTGTATCTTTCCAAGAATTAGACAGTTATGAAATCTTCTCATTTTGCTACCACGCTCTTGGTAGTTTAACCATATTTTTGTGGTTGGATTACATTTGGCAAAGCGAGTGACAAAGTGGGGGAAATAAAGACGGGTTCCTTAGCACTTTCTGGCTTCTATTTTTGCAGTAAAGATCTTTTCTTTCTAAAGAAATCCAAATGAAAAATCAAGAAAGGGCTCCTGCAACATTTTGATTTTAAACAAAGGAATAGCCTTCCCCGCATGTTGCTTTTAAATACTCCTTGTTCCTTTTGCCTATTTCAGTGTGACCTTGACCTATAACTCATGACCTAAAAATGTAATTACTTTTAAGTCTTTCCCGCACAGCTGCCACTATGAAAAAGTGTAGAGAGAGGTTTGGTCACTCATGTCAGAAGAGAAACCTTGTAATTGTAACTTAAGCAATGAGACGCCGTCTGTTTCAGCTCCGCACGGCAAGGTTGTTGCTCTGGAGAAGGGGGTTGTTTGGGGGGCGGGTGGAAACCCAACCAAAATAGAATCTGTAATAAATTACAGAGTCTCTTGCAGAGTAAATTAACTTCTCAGTTTTCTCTTTGGGCATCTTGAATGAGTGGAATGGTGGTTTAAGTTGGGTTTTGTTTTCTTCCTCCTCCTCCTCCTCTTCTTCCTTTCCTTCTCCTTCTCCCCTTTTCCTCCCCACGGCACTTCAAAACAGCTTACCAAACAGAATTTTCTATTTACATACCAGAAAATCTTGTAAGGATTGGTGGCTAAAACTGAACACACAGTAGCATTAGTGTCTGGCTTACACATGCAGTGCTGGTGGTCATTGTATCCCTTGTAATAGATTCATCTCCTTCCCATTCCTGACATAGGTGTTTCAGGAGTGATGTGGGAAAAGCCAGGATGGTACAGCAATATTGTCTCTCTGTCTCTGTCTGTCTGTCTGTCTGTCTGTCTGTCTGTCTGTCTGTCTGTCTCTCTCTCTCTCTCTCAGTAACTATGAGACCTTTGCATGTTTAGAGGTACAGTTCATTATTTCCCTGGGCTGCTGGCTGCCTCAGTTCCTGAATAAAAATTCAAAGGGTTAGAAAATTCTGATATTGCTTGAACATTCAAAAACGTCCCCCACTTAATCCTTCATGAAACTTCTTCCTCCTCCTCCTCCTCTCAGCATAAACATATATATAATGCTGGTAGTCATTAACATCTCTCTGCTATTAAGGATTGGTGTGGTATGGTGTGGTGTGGTGTGTGGTGTGCCACACTCAAAAAATGGGGAGAGGGCATTTAATTTGCTTCTTCAGTGTCTTACTATTAATGTGGAGTTTCCGTCCCTCCTTTTATGGATGTTATCTGGGTCTTCAGGTATTTCAGGGGACAAGGTGGAGGTGGATCCTGTGACCAATCAGAAAGCCAGCACAAAGTTCTGGATTAAGCAGAAGCCGATCTCCATTGATTCTGAGCTCCTCTGCACTTGTGATCTTGCTGAAGAAAAGAGCCCAAGTAAGTAACCTAGCTTGTCTTTCTGGTGTTCTTATCTAGGTGTTCCCTGGTCTCCTTCTCGTAAGGAACCAAAGGACAGGAGGGCATATCCTCCAAGTCTTCCTTATGCCAACTGAACCCTGCTTGTTAAAAGTCAGCCTTGACGAGAGCTCACCGGTATCTAAACCAGCCTTCCCAGTTGGCCTCCAGATTGGTAAATCAACCCCCAGAATTCCTTAGCCCAGCCAGCCATTTCTCAACTAACTGGAAGTTGAGGGGTACCTTCCAGATGGGTCAACTTTTAATTCCAAAACTCTGTAGCTGGCTTGCCATTCCTGAGCATTCTCGGGGTGGAAGCTCAACCAACTGTAGGAGACTCTAGTTGGATAAGATTGACCTTCAAGACATATAGGTGAGTTTCTGAAAGCAGATGATACAGTTGCAAGATGATACAAAGGGCTTCCTTTTTTCTAACTAGGGACTCAAGTGAGGTTTCCAATCAGTCCCCTGTAATTTTGGTTTCTTAGAACGTCTTGGATCCCCATGTGTTTCCCCCATGGTCATCCCTAGAAAATCAAAATCGTGGGCAGCTGCATCCTGGGGCTTTCTTTTGAATGGTGACTACCAGCCCAAAGAGAAAGTAAGCTGATGGCACTTGGGAGAAGAAGTGGTAGGACTTAGCTTCACAATTTACAGTATCTAAATTTCTTGATGATCTTCTTGTGTAGTATCCTATGTCATCTCTGCTGCCAATGGTTTAAACCATGTTATTGTTGGTTTCCTGTATATGTGAGCAATGTACATGTGTGTATGTGAGACAGTCCATAAGCAAGAATACAAACAGAGGGAGGTGGGATCCAAAGAGATTCACCATCCTCCTCTTGGCATTTCTCTACCTGCAATCATGTTTTGCTCTCTCCTGTTGCCCTCTGGAATTTGGAAGGGAAGAGACCCTTGCAGTTATTTTTATAAGCAGTCACTATTTTGATGATGATGATGATGATGATGATGATGATGATGATGATGATGATGGTTGGCCGCACAGTCAG